TTATATATAAAATGACTACTAAGTATTCTAAAAGATTTTAAGGGATGATTCCTCACACAAAGTCAAGACGAAAATTTCATATAATTATTTCTCTGAAATGGCTTAGTTTCAAAAATACAGGGTGTCAAAGTTAAAGGAAAAATTTTATTTTTTCCAAAAATTTCAAAAACTACTTGGGTTATTTTGTTGAATCTTTATATATGTATAAAGTTTCATCAAAATAACTTGAATAATTTTCAAAATTTTTGGAATAAAATATTTTTCCTTTAATTCTGATACTCTAGCTTTATAAGCTGTTTCAGATATATTGTATCATATGAAGTTTTCATCTTGAATTATATGTGAGAAATTATCTCTTAAAATCTTTTAAAGTATTTAGTAAACATCCTGCATATTTTATAGCGAATTCAGTCTTGTATTATACTAGATTAGTGCATACTAAAAGCTGTTATACATGAAATGAAAAAATTAGCCAAATTAAATGTAAAGATGTGCAAATATTTTAAATGATTGACTACTTAATAATGATATTGTCATTATTTAACACAATGAAAATATATTATTTCATTGTCAAAATTGATTGAATTATGTATTTAGATAGTTCATATAAAGCAGTCTTTAATGTATAATTAATCCAGTACAGTTTGAGACCAATTTCATCATTATTGAAATGTGAGGTGCATTCCATTATTCACTGTGAGTATCGAAAATCTATAGTATACATAATATGAATGATAGATTTTTAATATTCACAATGAATACTAAATGCAGTCATGAGTGTTTGAAACAAAAATTCTTTTATTTACACTTATGAAATCTAAACATATGTGGGATAAAAGTCGGGATCAAACCAACAATTACAAGTCATCAAGTCACACATCATCTCAGAAATACTTGTATATAAATTCTACATATGTCATTGTCTATTGATTATAGTTATATATCGACCCAGCAAAGCTGTTGCCTCTTCAGAGGTTTTTGCCAAAACCTCCTGGAGAGAAAAAAGGCAGAGGCGGTGGCAGAGTCATGAAAAGAGGTGGTGGAGGCAGAGGAGGAGGTAGAGGTGGTGGCAGAGCATCTTTCGGAAGAGGAGGAGGCGGTGGCTTCGGAAACAGAGGCAGCAGTGGAGGATTTAGAGGTCGCGGAGGAGGCGGTGGATTTAATCGTTCCAATTCAAGTGGAGGTCGAGGAGGAGGGAGAGGAAGATGGTAGACTTAAAATTAATATTTTAATGTTAGAAAATAATATCTTGTGTACTATAATGATAAATATTGTAAATGATAAAAAGGATTAAATATTTTATACAATTTACTCAGTTAATCTTGTCAAATTTTCTTTAATGATTTCAATATACTAATGGCGATACCATTATTTACATGTACATACACATATATATGGATTTATACGAGAACAATTTGAAAACTTCGTGACCTAACAATGAAAGCATACACTTTTAGATTTTAAATTACTTTTATTTTTTAATATGGTGTCTCAGCTTTAATGCAATGCTTTTATGCATTAGAACATATAAGGTTTGCTCGCGTTGCTTAAAATTTTCAAAAATGTTTACACTTAAAACGAGATTTAAGATCTGCTTATTTCTACTAGACACACACTGTACACATACTGATAGTTTTAGTATGCACTAAACTCTTTCTCGCTTTCACCAAATATCAAAGATATCTATCTCATTTTAAGTTCCAAAAATATATACTATTTCAGTCATAGAAAACACTATATATTCGACATAAAGCTTATATATTGATTTTATATATCAAACTTAGAGCCGGGTTGCACCTATCAACCGAGTTTGCCAACATCATCCCTACTCCTTTTGTTTCATAACATTTAGACTGCGTAGAGACATAGAACGATCGAATTCAGGGATGATATTAGCTGTAAATCATATAGGGCATTGCAGGGCTATAGGATTTGAAACATATTGCCCCGCATTCACTGTTTACAGAGTTTTTTTATTATTATTATTAATATTATTTGGATGTTAGAAAATCAAAAGTAACTATCAAACATATAAAGAACGCCAATAATCAGTCAAAGTTAGATGTTATAAATACAATACATATTCCTAATTTTTAAATTTAATTATCTCAGATGTGACTGTGCGCCGAAACGTTCGGACACAATCGATCTGAGATGTTAATAATATAAATATAAAAATGATAAGGCGCCGAAACATTCGGACATTCCTATACATAAAATAATCCTCCTTAAATTAATTTGATAAAGAACTTATTGCGAAAAATATTATCTCAGCCAGGATTCGAATCTAGGATCTCTCGACTTTCTGGGGCGAGTGTCTTAGCACATAAAATAATCCTCCTTAAATTAATTTGATAAAGAACTTATTGCGAAAAATATTATCTCAGCCAGGATTCGAATCTAGGATCTCTCGACTTTCTGGGGCGAGTGTCTTAGCCAACTCGACTTATATTCATAACATCTAACTTTTATCGATTATTGGCGTTCTTTATATTTATGAATACCGTTTACACGGTTGTACTTATCCTTAACTATCAAAAGTGACACTTCCAAATCAGCTCCAGGCCTATTATATATTTATCTTATATAATCTTATATAATATTATATAATCTTATATAATATTATATAATCTTATATAATATATAAAATTATGATATTCAAATGTTGAAAAGAGAGAAAGTGAAGAAGCTTAGTATAAAGAGTGTAAGTAACGCGGACAAACCTATAGATTCACAAATAAAATTATGATATTAAAATATTGAAAAGAGAGAAAGTGAAGAAGCTTAGTATAAAGAGTGTAAGTAACGCGGACAAACCTATAGATTCACAAGCATAAAGTGTATGTGAACAAATCAACGCTTGTTTTATCATGCCACAAAGTGATCCGTGTGTCAGCACCCTTATGAATTAGACCGCGAAGTTTTCAAATTGTTCTTGTATTGTAGCAAGCGTCTATCGAACATATTGTTAACTGGCTAAAGCGAAATAATGCCTTCCAACAAGCAACATAGTGCGACACAGTGATAATGTCATCTTTGTTTGACATTGGTAAACAACAAGGATGTAATGATCCACCGTGTCATTTGTGTCACTTGTTGGAAGGCACACAATATGTTCTCATTGATGGTACACTGGAAAAGTTACACCGGCTGATATGAGTGGATGTGTCTGATTAGAATGTGCGCGCTTGGGACGTATGTATGTACATATACTTAACCCGGCGTGAATGAGGTGGATAATTGTTACACCGACTATGAGGTGGATATCATATATACACATATATTTATTTAAAGATTTTGCTTATGATAGTACTATATAATGATTCGTTATTATATTATATTACTTTCTGCTGGATGTCCTAAACACAATAACAAAAATATTTGTTTTAAAAATGTCTGGGTATGAGATATTCGACCTCACTCACGCCGGATTAAGCTTAACTTAATTATAAAAAGTTGAATAATACCATAAGTCAATCTTGATCAAACTTTATACATTTTCCAAGTTCTTTCTCTGCTCGTTTGAGCAATTTATCACGTCCCCTTTGCTTGACTCTTTTCTTTTTACTCAACTTTTCCATCCTATCTTCCACTATCTTGTCCCAATACAATTTCTCTTCATCGCCTGGAAAATGAGCACATAAAGTTGGTAACAAATATATTGTTCGTAATATGTAAGATAGCTTCTAAATATATTTTTACCTTCTAAAATAGTTAAATGTCCTCCTTCGTAACTCTGCTGTGCAAATGTTTGTGCAGCTTCTGCTGTATCGCATCTTACATAGACTTCACAAGAATCAGCTATTACATCTACATATTTTATAGAATTGTTGTCTTTTAACTTCATCTGAAATTAAAAATAAGGATTCTTATTAAAATTGAGGATGCAATATTTAACTTTAAATTTTTTTTCTAATGATATGAATGTACTTTGAAACTCTGCGTATCTGTACAAGGCTCATCCATTTCGATTTTTACTATAATTCCTGGCGCATAATTAACGCGTCCACAAGACTTTTCTTCAAGTTTTCCATTATCGTTTTCATGTTTTGATTTATCATGCAATGTATTAGTCTGTCCAGTTTTATCATGGTATCCATTTTTTATAATTCCGTCTCGTTCGACCTCAGCTTTTCTCAAATGTACTTTTAGTTGTTTCATTTTATATCGTTGCAAATCTAAATATCTATTTCTAAGACGCTTCCAATCTGATTTTGCCATTATTTGCAATCCTATTTTACTATAAATATCATTGTCATGAATTTTACTTCTCTTTTTCCTATTCTTTTTCTTCTTCCTTTCATCACTAGTTTCCTCGATATCGCTATTTCTTGCGCCGAAATCGCTAGTGGAATGTTTTTCAGTTTGTAATAAAGCACTTCCTTTGTTGTTGTCATTGTTTTCATGTGGATATTCCAATTCTGTTGTTTCATTTTTATTTGAATTTATAGCTGATTTTTGACATTCCTTTTTTACTGCTTCTCCATTGTTATCTTCCGTAGTGATTGTATCATTTATTGTAAGTCTTCTCTTCTTTTTTTCTGTGATTTTATTGCGATTTTTATTCGGAATCTCTTGATTTTCTATACTGTTTCCAGTGACTTTGCTGTCTCTTTCATCTTTAATATATGATTTTTCTAGAGCAAGTTTCCTCTTTTTTAGATTTTGTCGACCATTATTACCTGCTATATCTGTTTCATTATCATAGGCATTAGTCTTATCTTCAGATTCTTCTTTTAGCACCTTTTCTTTTTCATTTTGTTGATCTATTGTACTTTGATCTATAGTTTTTCTCCTTTTTTTTACTTTAACATCACTTTCATCTGAAACAAGCGATTTTTCCAGGGCGTATTTTTCTTTCTTTGAACTTTGTCTATCATTATTATATGGTACATCATTATCACAAGTATTATCCTTATCTTTAGATTCTTCTTTTAGCACCTTTTCTTTTTCATTCTGTTGGTATGCTATGTTTTGATCTGTGGTTTTTTTCTTTTTCTTGACTTTAATGTCTTTTTCTTGACTTTCATCTGCAACAAACTTTTCTGAAGAATATTTTCTTTTTTTAAATTTTTGTTTGCTATTGTTATCTGCTGCATCTGTTTCATTATCAAGAGTATCACTCTTATCTTCAGATTCATATTTTGGTACTTTCTTTCCTTCATCTTGATCTATTATATTTTGATCAGCAACTTCCTTTTTCTTTTTCTTAACTTTAACATCGCTTTCATCTGTAACAGATTTTTCTAAAGAATATTTTCTTTTTTTAGAACTTTGTTTACTAGTATTATCCCCTATATCCATTTCACACATGTTACCTTTAGTCTCGGTTTCTTCTTCTTCTGTCATCAGTCTCTTCAAACGGAGTCCTTTACGGCCAATATTTCCCACTTCATTGGATGCCTTTTCGTTTTCATTATCTTTCAATCTTGTTTTAGTTTTTGAATTTATTACTTCAACTACTGCATCTTTATTAGGTTCATCAAATGTCGTTATACTTAATAACTCATTGGGAGATATATATGATGGCAAGACACATCTCTTTTTCCGAAATGTCTGTAAAATAAAATTTTAAGCTATAACATGTTACCAAGTGTGATGGAAGTTATAACTATTATCTTCCACATCTGTAATTATATTTGGCAATCGTTGACAGGTACTATTTTTCTTACCTTAATACATTCTTGAGCACTACTAGGCTTATCAAATTCTACAAATGCAAACCCTTTTATCTTCTTATTGTTCCTATAACGTGGAATCGAGACATATTCTACTGATCCGTATTTAGAAAAAATAGATATCAACCAGTCGTGATCCGAATCTGGAGGTAAATTTTGTACATAAATTGTACACTGATCAATATCTTCCTTCTTTTGAATCGGTGTTAATCGACAGACCTTTGTACCATCCTCTGATACCTTCAATATAGTCGATCCCTGCAGAGCCTTAGCTATTCTGTTTGTGTCTGTGGTCAACTCCCGCAGCTTATTAAATCTTGTGAATACTTCAAGGTCCACATCTAAAAGACCAGCATAATTACGATCAGAATTTTGATTTAATGTGATTAAAAAAGGTACATTAAATCAAAGGATTATCTTAGATCAAAGTAACGAAGAAAAAATACTTACAAGGACTTTCTTTCAAAAGTCCTGACAAATAACGATCCTTGTTCAAGTTAGCGTCACTAAAATAAAACTCCATTTGCTTAAGTATCGAGGCATGCAACGCTTTCTTTCTCAGCCTTGGTTTACCACGCGAAACGCCCGGCTTGTTGTTGCGTTTAACTGTGTCGACTATTGGCTCCTGTACCTGAGGAACCGGTATACTTTCCGAAGCTAATTCCATATCTGATTCCTCCATCACCATTGTATAATTCTCAAAAGAACATACACCTTTCTAGCAAAATACAGTGTTCACGTACTGCAACTCTGCAAGAGGATTTAGAAGTTGGTGTTCGAGTTAATATATACTTTCTATTTTATTCATACTCACCAGTTGTTTATAATGTAAGTTAGATCACGAAACCTCGTTAAGAAATACATACAATCTTCTTCTGGTCGGTGGATTGCCAATTTCACTTACAGAAATCGAAGTACATACCACCGGTACCACGCTTCCAACGCATATAATCACGTTCACGTTTATTCAGTTCTAAAATAGTTCTAAAATCTTGATGAATAGACGCAGCGTCAGTAAAGCCCAGTGTCCACGATGCTAGAAATCCGTCCGAGATCTCGGATGAAGAAAGAATTGACCAATCGCATTGATCATGTGACTAAATTGTTTAAATGTGGTTGGTTAATTCTTTCTCTCTCCGAGATCTCGGACCAATTTCTAACATCGTGGACACAAGGCTTAAAGTCCAGTGTCCACGATGCTAGAAATCCGTCAGAGATCTCGGATGAAGAAAGAATTGACCAATCGGATTGACCATGTGACTAAATTGTTTAAATGTGATTGATTAATTCTTTCTCTCTCCGAGATCTCGGACCAATTTCTAGCATCGTGGACACAAGGCTGTAATCCTAAAATCTTAAAATTCAGCCAATAGGGCTACCAGTCTTAATTGGTCCTAACGGAAATCTGTATTCCATTGGCTGAATTTTAGGATTTTAGGGTTAAAACCGAAGCATAAACCAGGCATCACGGTTACGGCCATTAAGCCCAGTGTCCACGATGCTAGAAATCCGTCCGAGATCTCGGATGAAGAAAGAATTGACCAATCGCATTGATCATGTGACTAAATTGTTTAAATGTGATTGGTTAATTCTTTCTCTCTCCGAGATCTCGGACCAATTTCTAGCATCGTGGACACAAGGCTTTATAAATCAGGTTTCACTCTCCTACTGCTGTGTAGCGCATCCATGGGAATGTTTCCACCTTATTATATATTTACACCATGAGGTTTATTCGCCTTGCTTGAAATTGCTTGAAATCTCCATAAAATTTGTGCACTTAAAACGAGATGAATATATATTTGGATGTTAAAAAGAGAGAAAGCATCGATGGTGAGTGCAAAAAGTGCAAGCAACACGAACAAACCTAATGGCGTTTTGTCTGTTCGTGCATCAGCGCATGTCCTAGGAATTGTAAGGGAAGATCGGCCATTTTTGTTGAACGCGTTTCTTTGCATCTTTCCAAAATGAAGTAAGTTATGCTTTTTCGCGAGATACACATCCAATATTCTCGGTGCGATCTCATTATATCCAGGAGGGGAACGTCGTGCAACGTGTCAGCATAATGTTCGTAATTAATTCACGTATGATATTTCCAGGATCGGCCTGTGCGCGTACAGCGGGTACAAGATTTATCCGGGCCATGGCAAGACCATGGTCAAAGTTGACGGAAAGGTGAGTACCGTTGAGATGACAATGTAATATCGACAAAATAATGATGATATAAGTAGGATAATCGAACATCATGACTCCGTGATGTTTCTCCAATATCGCACCGCGTTCTGTATTTACTCAATCATCTGTTTTATTGCACGTGTTGGCGTAACCAATTTTAGTCTCATTTCCTCAGACTTTTACCTTCCTCAACTCGAAATGCGAGTCTGCACACTTGATGAGGCGAAATCCTAGGAAAGTAACATGGACCGTTTTATACAGGTAAAGATATATGTCAAACTGATATATGATATTTCTCAAGCATTGACTGTTATTAATGGAATCGTGATCTGTCTTTCAGACGTAAACACAAAAAGGGTCAGGAAGAGGAGCAAACCAAGAAGAGGACGAGACGGGCACAGAAGTTCCAGCGTGCAATCGTGGGTGCTTCCCTCACAGATATCTTGGCTAAACGTAACATGAAGCCAGAAATTCGCAAAGCCCAACGAGAACAGGCAATCAAGTATGTATTCTTTCGATTATATCTCTATTCATTTGTTGAAATTCATTAGAAATTGTTTTAAGACAATTTAGAAATGACAATAGGTCTGTTTACGTTGTTTATATTTTTTATTCAGCAGCTTCGCTTTCTTTAATGTTCAAATATATATTGAAGTCTGTTCCTGTTGCTTGTTCTTTTTGCATTCAGCATCTTTGCTTTCTTTCTTTTCAATATCTAAATATATGTTTTATCTCATTTTGAGTGCAACATTTTTGGAAATTTCAAGCAATGTGAACGACCTATTATTAAATAATAAATATATAAGATGTCCTTTCACATAACACCCATTAATAGTAGATTCCTGAGACCGTTTTGAAACAAAAATCCTAGTACTAAAAAGTCGAGACTACAAGTTTTTAAATGATAAAGGTTTAAAGTTAGCTAATTGAACTGTCTGAAATTTGTGTGCTCGGGCATGACATATTATACATATATATAGTAGTATAGTAGTAAAGGTATTCAGAAAAAGAGAAGGAAATAGAATTAATGTTTGAAAACATCAAAAATCTGCTTGATGAGTGTCATGCAAGGTCTGGGACACCATGTATTTTGCATGCAAATGGATTACATACAATAGACATCTGTTCCTCTGACGAGGTCTCTTTTGCTTCGTCAGATTTCAGAATGTCTTAGAATAAAACTGGATTACTTCACCCGGAACTGTATCTTTAATTACATTGTCTGGCTTTTGCGGATTCATACAAATGATATAATATTATTATCTAATATGTCATAATGATGTTTAATTGATTCATTTGTTTCCTTTTTCTCAGGGCTGCAAAAGAACAAAAGAGAGCTGCAAAAGCAACAAAAAAGGCAGTTGCTCCTCCGAAAGCAAAACAAGTAGCAAAACAGAAAGTTGCTAAAGTGACGCAAAAGTCCGCACCTCGCGTTGGAGGAAAACGTTAAAGTCTGTAGCTATATAAATAAAATAAAATATTTCATTTTGACTTATGTTTTTAAATTATATAATTAAAGGAATAATTTTAAGATAGGTAAATTTCAAATAATACATTTATCTCAATTATTAATATATATACAACTCGCGTTTAATTTTCACAACCAAAAAAAATAATATATCTCATACATTTAATCTGATAAGAATAAGACTACCGTTTATAAAACAGATACATCTATATGTAATGTACTTATGTACAGCGAGCTTGCTTTTTTCTGTCTGTAACGATAACGGTAACGAATTAGGTGAATTAAAATATATAAAAATATTAATATAAAAAATTATCGAAGAGATTTAAATATAAGTTTAATATAAGAATAAAAGCTTGATATATAGAGACTAATTTAGAATTTTAAGTTTTAATATTGATTTTTACAATTAATATTGATTATTAAGTAATATAATTTTTTAATCTAATATTAACATTACGAAAAAGTAACGAATCGCGCGTTACTTTCCTATGTAATTATAACGCATTATTTTTATGAAATAACGTTCCCAACCCTGCCTGTATGTAATTATAGACACGTCTGTTTTATGAACGGTTTCAATGTTATGACTTGGATATATACAATACATAATTTTTTATTGTTTTGTCTGTTCCAACTCTTTCTTGAGTATAGACAACTTCGTCAAGGCGATGTCTCGCCATGCTCGTCGCTCCTGCAACTTGTCGAGCGGACACATCTCGTTCAATTCATTGCTGATCTTCTCCGCCATCTCACCGACGAATCTGGGGGTCGGTCCGAAAGTCATGCTCGTATCATAAATCGATTTGTTATATGTTTCGCAATATTTCTTCATTCCTATAAGATACATTGCAACGTAAATTGTGTTCCCATGGAAAAACTTCGTTTAATTGTTATGTAGATAATTCTTAATGACTGGCTCACCTTCGGCATTTAAATGTGCGGCCTCGAACATACCAATGAAAGCGTAACGCATTCCAAGACCTTCGCTCATCACTGCATCAACGTCTTTTACATTTAACACTCCATCAGCTACTAACCTCCAGGCTTCATTTAAGAGTGCATATCTATTGATATGATTCTTACATGTGAAGTGTCAAGAGATAGTCAAATGATAATGATAATTTAAATAATGATTTTGTGTAAGCAAAACATCCGATTACGTACTGTATTCTGTTGAGCGCAAAACCATCAATCTCCTTGTTTAAAACAACTGGTTTCTGACCGATTTCTGTCATGATAGCCTTTGTCTTCTTAGGAATATCAGAACGCGTCCATGGGGCTGGCACAATTTCGACGAGTGGCACGTAATAAGGAGGATTTACCTGTATTTACGACAGTATAATAATTACCAAATAATTAAATAAATACTCTTGCAAATAATCAACACTTTTTTGTTTAATCTTGTTAATTCTTCAGTTATTTAGAAGATTGTGCCATGTCAGTGAGATTGAGTTCAAGAAAAAGAAACAAGTACTTGTTATCTGCATCAGAAGATTATATCTCTAAACTTAGTAACTATAACTTCGTAACTATAAACTTAATATATAATCTTATAAATCTTGTAATTTTATAAACTTGTCTTTTTCAGATATAATGTAATATAAATATGAATTCTTATACATAAATGTTAATTTGCTAATTGGATTTGTATAACACAAAGATTTAGCGGAAAAAATCTATATTACATTTTATATTATAAATAGTTTGAGAATACATACAGGGTGGGAGACGATAATTTGTTCACGGTGTTTCAGCTTTTCGCTGAAAAGAGACGGGCGGAACGTAGACGTCGAAGATGACAGAATCACCTTGTCATCAACAATTTTATCAAGATCGTTGTAAACTTTTGTCTTCAACGAGAGATTTTCTGGCACGCATTCTTGGATCAGTTTTGCTCCCTTCACAGTCTCCGCCAAATCCAATGATCCTACAATGAATCCATTAAATTCCGTGACAAATGGAATTTAAAAAATCATTAGGAAAGCTATCCTATAACATCAGTGATGAAAACTCAATACTACTTTGAATCTTTCAATACGTAATTATTGCAGTCATTACATTTTATATAATAATTTCTTGATTAAAAGATAAAAATAATTGCTGTAGATTAAAATAGAAGAGATAGGCAAACCCTTTATCAAATTAAATTGCTGATCCGCTGTCAGTGTACCACGGAGAATGCCGCTAGTTTCGAGATGTTTCAATTGTTGATGGATATCCTCCAATGCATTCTTAATTTGATCCTGAACAATATCATAAATAGTCACCTGGTATCCTACGCTGGCGAAGAGCATCGCCCA